CTGGTGGCCTCTTTGATGCCATGGCCCTGACTTTAAAAGACACTGGTTATGTCACAGAGCTATAGTGGTGGTGGCATGGGAACAGGGGATCTTTAAATGAGGGAAGCCATTGGCTGAGCTCTGGCATCTTTTCAGGTTCTTGACAGCCATAGAAGGGTTGCGGCGGCGCGGGGGACAGTGGCGGCGCGGGGGACAATGCGCGGTGGGAGACAATGCGCGGTCGAGTAGAGGGGAGCAGAGAGCCGGGCAGACACTGACTGTGTGCCTGTCGGCTCTATGATCGGGCAAGTTGTCATTTTATCTCTGACTCCTGGATTCCTCATCGGTCTTCATTCAGCTGTCTCTCTGTTTTCTTGTGTTTTTCCACAGGGTTTGGTAAAGGCTCCAGTGTGGTGGCCTATGAAGGACAATCCTGGCACGACTACTGCTTCCACTGCAAAAAATGCTCCGTGAATCTGGCCAACAAGCGCTTTGTGTTTCATAATGAGCAGGTGTACTGCCCCGACTGTGCCAAAAAGCTGTAACGTGACAGGGGCTCCTGTCCTGTAAAATGGTGTTTGAACCATGCTTTTGTGTCCTTTGCTCACTCCCTCTGTACCATCCATAGGGGAAGAGTGGGTTTTCACCTCTAAAGTTGCTCTTTCTCTCTTTTCTCCCATTTTACAGTATTAATCAACCAAGGGCACGCAGTGATCATATTAAGATTTAGCAAAGAACAACCTTGCAGCAAAAATAATTTCTCTCTTGCTGCAATGGAAATAAACAAAAACTTAGATTGACTCTTCTGCATGTTTCTCATAGAGCAGAAAAGTGCTAACCATGTAGCCACTTCATGATGTAAACAAGAAGCATAGGCGATAAGGCTCCCACTGAGATGCCATTCAGGGCTCATCTGAGACCCATTGTGCAGTCACGTGACTGATGTGCAAGAGTTGTAGCGGCTGCTCCAACTCACTGCTCACCATCTTCTGTGAGCAGTAAAAGAACTTGCCAGAATGCATGGTTTAACTTCATCAGAGCTCTAATCTTCCTTCTGTTCTTTTGTGCTTTCACACGACTAACACAAATTTCCCAAGAATTAACGTTGTGAACTTAGCTGTAACTATCCACTGACTTTACCCCCATACTAACGTTTGACTCCCCCACATGGCATGTTCTCTGAGCGTTCCTACTTTAAAGCATGGAACACACAGGTGATTTGGAAAGTGCAAGCACATCTGAGAAAACGAGCCTGTTTCAGAGCAGCATCGTCACAGTGATTACTTCTGGAAGCTTAACAAAACTAACCCTCCTGTCCTTTTTAATTTTTAAAAAAATTTTGTTTTAATTAATAGTAAAAATAGTTTATGGGTTTGGAAACTTGCATGACAATATTTGAGCCTCCTCAGACGTTCCTGCAGTTTTGAGATTCATCCTATAGAAGAGACAAAAACTCTAGAGAGGCAACTGAGCAGGCACAGGGCTGTCATCAACAAGAATGTGACATTTCAAATCTGTGACAAGTGGAATCCCTTGTAACATAGTTGTCTGCTCTTTGTCTGTGTTCAAGAAGACTGCAATGTCTCTTTCCTTGTGATTCTTAGAATTTCCCTCAAGAGTTTAGCTGGGTCTCGGGGCTTTTGGGGGTGGCCAGCATCCTTCACAGGCAGGGCTGGTTTTCCACCTCCTGCTCCTCTGAAATGCAGGATACCTGTGTAACTGTATTCTCCATTATGATATTACATATATAACGAGACAATATCAAAGTAAACATGTAATGAAAATACATACTCATATATTACTGTAGCAGTGGTTGTAGATGCCAACACCTCATTTCCACATTTTGTCATTAGCTGTTTCCATCTAACGTTTCAGTGTATCCTTACAAAAATAAAGCTGCATAGAAAGAGCACGTCTCCTGTCTTTCTTCTGCCCAAAAGAAGCACTCGACTGTAATATGCTGCTACCCCAGAAACTCGAGAATATACTCAGTTCAATGCAATGTACAAACCTGTAGCACCACTCTGGTCCAGTTTAAACAGAAAACAGCCTGGAAATGTTCCCCGGATTTCCACATTCCCCAAAAGACAATAACTGGTGATTCTTCCTTGGGCAGAATAGCACAGGCATTGAGGGAATCCCAGATGAGGAGGCCACTTGCGAAGGAATCATGGTTTTGCCTCACTTCATTCCTTTCCCTTTGGCCCTCTAATGCCTGGAGCCCACGTGCCGTTGTAGCTCCACCACCTGCCCTTCCTACCCGCATCCTCCTTGTGCTTTGGGCCTATGTCTCCTGTTCAGAGACTGGCCTGGTATACTCCTCCTCTGTGTAGTTGGAACACCTGAAGCTCATAACCTTACCTATCCACCCTTCCCATTCCCTAGAGCTTATTCTAAGAGGGCCCGAGGGGCCAACGGCAATAGCAGTGGCAATGGGTGCCACTGTGATTGCTTCTGTGCCCAGTCCTTCCTCACAGAGGATGCTCTAAAGGTTTTGGGGAACTTTGATAAGCTACATTTCAGCTAACAGTAGGTTGGGAGGGGTGGCAGTGTTAGACTTTCACGAGCCCCGCCCTAGCAAACAATTGTCCTTTTGGCTGGCTGTCAGAATCTTGAGAAATCCTGGGGTCATAGTGGTCCCTCTTCTCCAGTGGAAGCATTTGCCATCTGAGAAGGGCTTGACACCTGTAAGAATCCACTGCAAGCCTTTTTTTTCCCATTGTGCTGCGGACTGAACTCAGGCCTCATATGACTTAAGAATGGGGAATGTCCCCTCTGGGCGCGTCTCTTTTTACAGAGATTGCCTGTAGAAACACCTTTAAACCACTGAAGAGAACCTCTCTAGGTTTCTGAGGCCCTGCCTCTGCACCATGCCAGCATCCTCTACGTCTGCAAGCTGTGCTTGTTCTGCTCTCAGCCATAGAATCCCAAACCCCTTCCCCACCATGAGTTATGAAGTTTCCAGTCCAGTGGCCACTCGCACTTTCTCAGTCCCTAACTTTTTTATTTTAAAATAATTATTTCATTTGCATTGGCATTTTTCCTGCATGTATGTGTGAGGGTGTCAGATCTTAGGGTTATAGACAGGTGTGAGGGGCCATGTGGGTGCTGGGAATTGAACCTGGGTCTTCTGAAAGAACAGTCAGTGCTCTTAACCGCTAAGCCATTTTTCCAGCCCTGTCCCATCCTAACTTTACATTCCTTGAATCTTCGTTGAACCCGCTTCAGCCGTTCTTTCCTGGATCCAGCTCTATTACCCCTTCTGTGCTTCTGCTGCACTTGACCTGAAAACCCTTAGCTGGTCTCCAGAGCTGTGCTAAAGAAAAGCCGTAGGTAGAACCACGTCTGCCACTTGCTCCACAGTCTGCAACCATGGCCACTCTCCACAAAAAAAAAAAAAAAAAAAAAAACAACTGCCTACCTTATCCAAGAAACAGGCCCACCAGGCATGTGTCCCTGGAACTGTTTACCCTTAACACTGATCTTCAGAAGCAAACACATCTGCCACACCAGGTCTAACCCCCTCAACCAATGCTGGGCATGTTTTCCAGGTGAGAAAAAAAATGCAAGTTCAGAGAGATTAGGCTTGCCTAAAGCTACACAGCTCATTGGAGAGAGGCCATTCTGGGCATAATACTACTATGTCAATGACAACACTGCACTATCACAGAAATGGACATATCAATAAGGAAATGCATCAGGCTGTCCACTACTTTAGAATGGCACCTGCTTATTGCATGACAGAGTTCAGGGGTTATATATCTGGTTACTATACTGTCATCTGAGAGGCATTGTCAGAATAAGAACATAGCAACCTATTGCTAACAGGGTGACACCTAAAGCCAGGTTGCCTGGGTTTAAATTCTGGGCAAGTGACAACTAAGCTGGTTTCTTACTTAAAAGTAGATAGAATGGCCCATTTCAAAATTGCATGCATATGATGATCACAGGAGAACTTAGTGGGGTGATTGGTACCACACAAATATGAAGTCAGTGTTAGTACCAGATACTGCTTTGGTGTCTTGGACCTACTCTACAAGTCACACTATAAATGTATGAAGCATGTGGAGGGTTGATCCAAGCCACACAGACTTGGGGTTGGAGATTAGCGCCATCACTTTCCACCCACATACACCTCACAGAGATGCCGTGAGACTGCAAGTGCTGCCTCCCTAGAAGCTGGCACTTTGTACCTGGATGCCAGACTTCACTGGCTGCTATGCAGCTGGGGAAGTGGAAAGAGGGGAGTGCCGGGAAAGGGGACCTAGCGACTGCTGTGACTAATTGGGAAGGTCACTGAAAGTGACACAGCAGTGACCTTTGTCACTAGCTAATCTTATGTCTCAACACCCTAGCTCTGGCCCCAGAATCCAGAGTAAGTGGCATTTGGGGATAAAAATGCCCAGGGATTGCACTAACAGTCCCTTCAGCCAATTGATAAGGAAGAAGGCCAGAGGGGAGGCAACACAGCAAACTGGCAGCCTCCTCAGCTGGGGTTCCAGTCTTTGCAGTACCCATGCTTTACTTTGGCGGATTCTGGGCAGTGAGACTGTTAAAAGCATCATTCTACATGATGTGGACATGGTAACAAGGGCATATGAAGTGTGCTGCACTGACGAATCTGTGTCCCTTAGGGGACAAGACATAATAATAGGAAGGACAGTATGAAGAGACTAACACATGGAAAGTGATCTTACAAAGTCTATCTCCTCGAAGCTGTGAACAGAACACAGTGGTTCCAACAGATGCATTGATATGACCTGGTGCCAACAGGAATGAAATATGTCTAGATTATGTTGATTTAAATATACATAAAATGCCATAATGTTAGCAAGAGATAGCTCAGGTGGATAAAGACATTTGCCACCAAGCCAGATGGCCTGGTTTTCATTCCCAGACCCCACATAGTGGAAGAACTCACTCCTATAATTTGTCCTCGATCCGCCTCCACATGTGTGCTATGAGACACCTCCCCCAACCACACTATAAATAAATGCAAAAAAATCAAAGCTCTAGAATATTAAGCAGGGAATGACTGTCACAGCCTTATAAGTACCAGATCACAAAGACTAGGGATAAATAAAGCCCTAGGCCTATTAAAAGCAAAAATAGTGAGGTAAAAGCATGACTAATAGATTAATAAATTGATAGATTTGGTCAGTGGACATTTCTGTCTTCTAACTTGAGTCTCCCAGAGTGCTAGCATTGTGCTACAATGCTTGCACAAACCATATTTTAAGGTTAGAACCTTGGAGCCAGGTGGTGGTGGTATGCATCTTTAATCCCAGCACTTGGGAGGTGGAGTGGAGGCAGGTGAATCTCTTTGAGTTTGAGGCCAGCCTGGTCTGCAGAGTGAGTTCCAGGACAGCCAGGGCTACAGAGAAACCCTGTCTCAAAAAAACCAAAGGAAAAGAAAAATTAGAACCTTGGGCCAGTGAGATGGTTCCTTGGGTAAAGTGCTTGCTAAGCAAACCTGATAATATGACATTTGTCCTTGAAACACAATGTAAAGTTAGAAGGAGAGAACTGACTCCATAAACACACTGTTCCCATGCTCAAATAATGATGATGATGGAAGCCAAAAATTATTCAGGCATATCAGGACATAGGTAGTCAAAGCAATGCAATGAAGAAATGTATACGTAAGAGCATGCAAACTGCTTCAGATTTATAAAGAAAGTAAAGGGGGGGACAAGTTAAATGTTGGGGAGATATCTCAGTTGGCAAAGTGTTACCCTCTTAAGCTTAAGACCTGAATTTGGTCCCCAGCTCCCACCTAAAACCTTGGGATGTACTAGACTCATACTTGGAACTTCAGTTTCTATTATAACAAAAACAAATCTTGTTTTATCTGCGACATTTATTTCATATGGCACATACTTAACAAAGTATTTCAGCACATGACATTTGTATAGAAAAATACCAGAAGCTCATCTTTTAGAATGATTGCCTTTTGCTGTCTACATTTAAGAACCAGTATCTAAAAATAGATTTTAAACCTGAGGCATCCTGCTCGAATACATAACAAAGGTAGCGAAGGGACCAAGCATCAGGAAATGTAATTATTCTTTTTGGGAATCCAAGATTGGTGGCTAAAGAAACATTGACCTATCTTAAACCATTTGTGATTGAACAATGAGGCTTGTTGGTGGGAGGGCAAGGAATGTGTGTTCTAGTTTTATGGAATCACATTACCTCTGTGTGTAGATACATGTGTGAATGCACACGTGTTTATGTCCATGTTCATTTGTTGCAAGCGCCGAGAAAAAAAGCAAGCACATTTTGCATATATGTCCCAAGCCTGAGTTTATACTGAAGAGCAGGCCTGGAAGGCAAGGCAAAAAAAGCTCTAACCACACAATATTTAAAGGAATTCATCATACTCTGTGAGACAACAGAATACTGGACATTTTGTGTATAAACTGCTCTAGGTACTTCAATACAAAACAATGAGGAGAGCATGAAAGATATTGATGGGCCTTTCTGGTTCTGGCCTTTGGAGGTATCAGCACTGGACAGGGATGAGAGCTGAATTTTCAAAATGTCCATACATATAGGCAATAAAGCTGTCCTGTTTCCGAAACCTTTGGTGTCTATTAGGAACAATCAGACACAACTGTAATGAGCACTCGAGTTCCACACACAATGTTATGCTCTCTACAAGATCAGATTGTTTCTAGTTGTTGAAGCAGTGTCACTTTGAGCCAGAATCAACTATTTTAGCTCAAATAGATCCTGGAATAGTGACACTCCTTTAATAGGATTTTTGTGAGGGACTGAAGATGATTATTTAATGAAAAGATCCTTGAGGAATTCCTTGACGTACACCAATTGATGGAAAGCCAAGAAAGAGACAATAGAGATTTTTTTTCCCGAGGAAAACAGAAACCTCTTTACTTAAAACTCTCACTAGAGACCAAGTTGATAGTAACATTTTCTTAAGTAGGTGATGAGGTGACTATTGGATCGGGGTTTTCGTTTTCCTTTTCTTCCTTTCTTGATGGTAAATTTCTTTGCCAGTTTCAAGTATCAAGGAGACAATTTTGAGTCTTGCCCTTGGGAGTTTTAATACAGAGTGGAAGAAGATGATCAATCCCCCAGGCTCCATAGGCTTTATACATCTAGGCAGGGAGAAAAGAAAAGATTAGCAGAGTGGATGCTTATAGTGTCATGATAACTCACCCCAGCTTTCTTCTGGGGTGACTCCCCGAGCAAGCCCTGGAAACATTCTGACACCTTGGTGCTCTTCTCTAAATGCTCCCCACATCAACACCTGAAGACCTCATACTGTTTTTGGCCAGGGGAGCTTGTGTGTGTGTGTGTGTGTGTGTGTGTGTGTGTGTGTGTGTACTGCATGTGTGCCTGTGTGCATGCTTTTGTCCTGGTGAGTATGGAAGCCAGGGTTAGCTGTCCAGTGTCTTCTATTGGTTCCTTGGCTTATTTTTTTAAAATACAGGACCTCACTGAATCTGGAACTGACTCAGCTTACACTGGCTGTCCATCAAACCTCACGGGTCCTTCTGTCTCTGCCTCCCCAGTGCTGAGATTACACCTGCCTTTTGACATGGGTGGGGGCTCAAAAAATCCTAAAGGTGGCCCCAAAACCATTTTCCCAACCTTGATTAACTTCTTAAAGAGACAAACAATAGCCCTTTGGTTTGGGAAACACAGGATGAAAGACAGATTGTAAAGACCTGCTCTCTGCTCTCCTCTGTACTTGTCTGGCAGCCAGAGGAGCGGGTGCTCAGAGGAAGCCAGATTTTTTAAAAGAACTTATATTTTATATGTGGCAGGAGATGCAGGGCGGAGAAACCATTATCAAGTTAAGTATTCTCTCAAATATAACTTAATGGAAAATTCTTCTAGATCATTCCTACGGACTCACCACTATCTTCTTCCTGTCCTCCAAACGCCATCCTGGGACAGCCAGAGGCAAAGGGATTTGCAAGATCGGTTGCTTTTCCAGCTATGTGAAGGTGAGACAAAACCTTCGTCAAAGGAGCAGAAACAGGTTTGCCTCGGTTTTTGTGGTCCAAAGGTGCCTGAGGACCTTGGCAAGTTGTCACATAATCCTTTAAATTTTGTTTGTTGCTACCAGCAGCGGTCTTTATAACAGGTGATTCAGTGGTGTGACTAAGGTCTATAATTTTGTCACAAATCCACTCCTGATTGGTGGCGACACTTAGAGAAGATTGGATGGTAGAGTTGGCTTCCTTTGTTTTTCTGCTTCTCACTGTCCGGGTAGGTGGTTTCTTGGTAGGTATCCTGGAATGAAATATTGTAGTGAGAACCTTGGCTATTCAAAAACCCATGAAAGGAGCTTTATCATCTAACTTCTGAGGAGTGTCTTGGATATAATAATACAACTTTCCACGTCCTTGAATGAGAAGGCTGGAAGGGACCATATAGATCACGGAACACGCTGGCATTTAAATTATATCCTAGACAGTGCTAAGGTACCTTGGAAATACCAGGGCACAAGAGCATCTGCACACACATAAAC